ATGCACCTGGGAAAGCAGCCAAGGATGGCCTAAGTGCTTGGGCCCCTGCAGCCACGTGGGAGAGCTGGAAGAAGCTCCAGCTCCTTGCTTTGGCCTGATCCAGCCATCGGCTGTTGTGGCCATTTGGGGAGTGAACCAGTGTGGATGGAAAACGACTCTCTCTCTCTCTCCTTGTCTCTCTCTCTCTCTCTCTCTAACTCTGCCTTCCAAATAGAAAGAAAAAAGCTCATGGGAAAGTGAAATTAAAATTTGTTTTTGTGTGAAGAAACTAAAGTTCATGCCTAGTTTTTTTCGTAGCAAACATATTCTGTGAGTCTTCTGAGAGCCCTCCGGTGTGGGTGGGTGTGATGGAGAGGTGTTGCAAAGCAGTGGCTCATGTACTTAGGCAATGGCAAGATCAGCATGGGCAGTGGGAAGCTGGAGACCCAGGGAGCCGGAGGCTTGGTTCCAGCCCGGAGACTGATGGGCTGAGACCCAGGCGAGCACGTGTTGCGGCTGAGTCTGAACGCAGGAGAGACGGCTTATGCCTCAGCTGCGGGTGGTTGGGCAGGAGGCATTCTGTCTCCCTGGGGCTGGGGGCAGGGCAGCCTTTCCTCCCACTCAGCCTCTGTGGATGGATGGTGGTCCGCCACCCAGGGGAGGGCCACCCGCTTTGCTCAGTCCACCCAGACACCCCCAGAGTAGTGTCTGATCAGGCGTCTCATGGCCTAGGCAAGTGCACACTCACAGTTCGTCACCACGTGACAGGGATGGCATGGTGGCAAAGGAGACGCGCACTGGAAGAACATGGTGTGTGACACTCCTTAGTGTGGGCGCCCGTGGGCTACATCTCTCTACCCTAATGACAGCAGTGTTTGGTTGTGGCTGCACTGTGTGACCACTGATGGAAAGAATGGGGGATAACTTGTGGAGAAGAGGTTAATCCTGTGTTTATTATTTTTTTTAATTTAAGAAACTTACAAAATAATTGAGTACCTGCCACCCACCTAGCAGCCATGTGAGTTCCTAGCTCCTTTCAGCCTGGCCCAGCCCTAGCCAAGGCAGATGTTTGGGGAGTGAACCGGAAGAGGGACGATCTGTCTTTGGCTCTCTTCCTTTCAGATGACTTTTTAATATAAACAGATAAACTTATAAAAATGGAGAAAGAAAACCAGTTGCAAGGCAGATACCACACACACTCACACCTACACCATGGAACTCCCTATCTACTGTTTCATTCTGGAAATTCCTGCAAGAGCTGGGACTGGGCCAGGCTGAAGCTGGGAGCCAGGAACTCCATCTGAGTCTCCCACATGAGTGACGGGGTGCAGGTGCTTGGGCATCACTTGCAGCCTCCCAGGGTGCCAATCAGCAGGAAGCTGGAATCGGGAGGCAGATTCAGTACTCGAGCAGGCACTCCAATTTCCGGATGGAGTGTGGCTGTCCCAAGCAGAGTCTTCACTTCTAGGCCATGTGGATGTCCATAATTCTGCTTTAAAAAATTTAAAATCCATTTTATTTATTTGAAAGGCAGAGAGAGAGAGAGAGAGAGAGAGAGAGAGCTATTCCATCTGCTGGTTTACTTCCCAGATGTCTGCAGCAGCCAAGGCTGGGCCAGGCCAGGGTCTCATTATTCCATGTCTCCCACACGGATGGCAGAGACCCAACCATTTGAGCCATCATCTGCCGTCTCCCAGGGTGCACATTATCGGGAAGCCAGAGTCAGGAGCCAGAGCCAGCTATGGGTACAGGTGTCCTATGTGGTGTTGTAACCTCTACACCAAACACCTGCCCCATTTGCAAAGCTTGAGTTGGGAGCAGATCAGGAGCACTCAGCACTCCCTACTTGTCGCTAGAGGAAGGCATGTTTTCCTGTTGTCCACGGTGGCTCTGGCACAGTCTCTGAGGCCTCAGCACTCTCTTGACTGATTTGCTCCGCACCGGTTCTTCTCCATCAACCGACCAGATGATTTTCAATCATTTCTTTCTTTTTTTCAACTTTGTTCTTGACACTGAGAAAATAGATATGAGAGATACATCTGGTGTCTGCTCATCTGGTGGGAATGATGGAGAAAGAGGGTACTGGTAGTGTGTGATAGAGGATGAGATAATAAGCCAGCAGCAGGTACCGTGTGCCCAGAGGCAGCCCCACAAGCCTGGGGAGGAAGTCAAGATCCAGTGATGCTTCGGGGAAGACAAGACATTAGCCAGGGAGTGGTGGGTTTGACATGCGTGTGCAATGCCTTGTGAGACATGAGTGTAAGCTTGATTTTTGCAATCATTTGGGAACATGAACAAACATACTGGCTGCTGAACACCCCCACCCCTCCAAAAGATGTTGATGCATTTGGCCTGGGGTGGGGCCAAGCGTCTGTGTTTTCTAAAGTACTGCCAGGGCTGAGGACCAGGAATATAAGAGGCACTGCTGGAGACTGGAGACCTTGACCCTGGAGGGACCAGGAGCGGGTCTCTGCTGGGCTGGGGTCAGGAGCCTGAGCTGGCTTTGGGGAAGCAGGAAAGGCTTGCGCAGAGCTCAGCAGAGACAGAAAGAGCTGTCGTCGCCAGTTGCCCTCCTGACTGTGCCTGTTGAGCTGTTGTCCCCCCCCCCCCACCATGTAAAAGTCAAAGTCAACTGGGAAATAACAAAAGATACAATAAAATAAGATAATCCGAAAGATTACTCCATAAAAAGAAGCAATGAAACAGTAAAAGCAGGCTGATGCAGTAAACCTCCCAGAACTCCTCCACGCAGAACCACCGCCAAGGGCCAGGCAGTGGAAGGAATCGCCTGTACTGGCCCACACACTGCCTCCCCATGCACGGCGGCGCCCGAGCTTCACCACCCTCGGTCTGCAGATAGGATGTCAGGTGCTCAACTTTATGGGGTGAGGGCAGGGTTATGACTCCGTCTTCTTGATTCAGAAGGCTGGCTTATTAAGACTAACCAGCCAATCGGGGCAGAGCAAGCAATTGAACTCAACTTTTCTGTTTTAAAATTTTTTATGTATTTATTTGAAAGAGAGAGAAGTCACCTACTGGTTCACTTCCGAGATAACCAAAATACCTGAGGCTAACCACGAAGCGAGGAGTCTGGGACTCCTTGATCTCCCACGTGGGTGGCAGGGACCCAAGTACTTGAGCCATCACCTGCTGCCTCCCAGGGTGTGCAGTAGTGGGAAACTAGAATCAGAACTGAATTTAGGCATTCCCATATGGAATGCAGGCATCTCCAGTGGTGGTCTTAACTGCTATGGTGCTGTGGCACAGTGGGTAAGGCCGCCTATGGTGCCGGCATCCACATGGGCACTGGTTCGTATCCCGGCTACTGCACTTCTATCCGGCTCCCTGATAATGGCCTGGGGAAAGCAGTGGAGGATAACTCAAGTGCTTGGGTCCCTGCACTCATGTGGAGACCAGGATGAAGCTACTGGTTTCAGCCTGGCCCAGCCCTAGCTGTTGTGGTCATCTGGAGAGTGAACCAGTAGATGGAAGATTCTCTCTCTCGCTCTCTTTCAAATAAATACATAAATAAATAAATGTTTTTAAAAAGTGCTGTGTCAAATGTCTAGCCCTGAGCCCAGAATTTATCATTCAAGTCCAGAGCACTTTCCTTTGAGTAAAGGCTCAAGTTTGGCTGCCCATGGGCACCATCTAGGGAGCTTAAAAAAAAAAAAAAACACTGTACCGATGCTAAATAGACATTGCTTCACGCAAGTCCCAGGAGTTGCCAATAAGTATATGAAAAAATGGCTGTCAGTAGTCAGCAGGCAATGCAAAGCAAAACCACAAGGAGACCTCACCTCACATCTGTCAGGATGCCTATTATCCAAAAAAATAATAAAAAATAACAAGAAGAACAATGAAAGATAAGTGTTGGCAACCGTGAGGAGGAATTGGAACCTTACACACCACTGGGGTGAGTACAAAACGGTGCAGCTGCCTCGGAAAGCAGTATGGAGATTTCTCCGCAAGTTAAAAATAGGATGACCATGTGATCCAGAAATCCTGCTTGTGGGGGCTCATCCAGAAGAATTGAAATCAGGGTCTCAAAGAGATATTAACAAGTCCTTGTTCATTGCAGCATCACAACGGCCAATATGTGGAAGCAGTCTAAATACTCATCAACAGATGAACGGATAAAGAGAATGTGGTGCAAACACACAGCGAGAGTCTGTTCCGTCTTCCCAGAGGAGGTTTTGCATGTGACACTGTGGGTCTTGCGCTAGGTAGAAGCCAGCTGAGAAGGCTCTGGTGGCCACTGTCCACCATTGTACCTGAGTGTAGCCAGCAAAGATGCCTTGTACACTTCAAAGTTTATTAAGGGGGCTAAGTGTTCTTACCAAAGAACAAACGAACGCTGGTATCAGTGCTGGGTTGGCCCCCGATTCCCCCTTGGTTGGGCCGGGCAGGGCCAGGCAGGTGGGCGGAACACCGCGCACCTGGGCTCTGCTCTTGGTCGTGACTGCTATCTATCCAGCCCCCAGAGTACTCAGCACTTTCTAGATGTTTCGTGGAGTCCTCCTCGTACCCTATAAGGTCTATATTGTCACTTGCACCTGAGAGATGAGGAACGGAGGGGAAGCCGGTGTCTCTGGGTCACCCAGCTGGTGGTCCCTGGGGCCTGTGCCCTTGCTCAGGCCAGCCTGGGCTGCAGCTGCTGGGCCCCTGTGGAGCTCAGACACGGCTGTCGCAGCTCTTGCGTCTCACACTCGTCCCTCGAGCTGTAGTCCGTCGGGGGACAGTGGTCCTGGATCTGCCCACACTCAACAGTGGCAGTCACAGGAGCTCAGAGGGGCACAGGCTGCCTGGGTAGGCGGTGGGCCCTGCCACCACGCTGGGGAAGGCCCCGAGGGATCTGTGGGGAGGGCACGCATCGTCCTGCATGGGTGTACACGGGCTGAGGCGGGGTTGTGATGAGACATCCCTCACAGGCCCCAGACACTGAAATCTAGGGGCTCAGTGGGTGGAACTGGTTCTAGAAGATGAGCTCACAGAGTAGAGAATTCTGTAAGTTCAGTCTGGAGCCTGTCTTCTCCCATTATTCTCTTAATACTGGGCGCCTGGAGCCCCAGCAGTAATGTGGTGGGGAAGTGCCCTGAGCTGAAGCAGAGTTTGGGCCATTGCTGCTGCTGCCATTGTCACCACCGTCTTGGCTGTGGTGAGGAGGACCCTGCCCTACATCAGTGGGCCCCCTTTTCCCTCCTCCTGGATCTGTTAACTGGGGCCCTGGGTTAGACTGGCCCTGGGTTAGACTGGCCCTGGGTTGGGTTGGCCCTGGGTTGGGCTGGCCCTGGCTGGGCTGGCCCTGGGTTAGGTTGGCCCTGGGTTGGGCTGGCCCTGGGTTGGATTGGCCCTGGGTTGGGCTGGCCCTGGGTTGGATTGGCCCTGGGTTGGGCTGGCCCTGGATTAGGTTGGCCCTGGGCTCAGCTGGCCCTGGTCTGGACTGGCCCTGGGTTGGGTTGGCCCTGGGCTGGGCTGGCCCTGGGTTGGGCTGGCCCTGGGCTGGGCTGGCCCTGGTCTGGACTGGCCCTGGGTTAGGTTGGCCCTGGGCTGGGCTGGCCCTGGGCTGGGCTGGCCCTTGGTTGGGCTGGTCCTGGGTTGGCTTGACCCTGGGCTGGGCTGGCCCTGGGTTGGATTGGCCCTGGGATGGGCTGGCCCTGGGTTAGGTTGGCCCTGGGCTCGGCTGGCCCTGGGCTGGTCTGGTCCTGTGTTGGGTTGGCCCTGGGCTGGGCTGGCCCTGGGTTGGGTTGGCCCTGGGCTGGGCTGGCATGGACAGAAGGAGGTGGTGGTCAGAGCTGGGGGATGATATTGGGGAGGGAGAAGGAGCAAACCCTGCTGGCAGCTCTATGGTCCCCGAATCACCAGACCTGACTCCCTGAACCCCTGCTCCTGCTGTGATATGCTCAGCATGGAATTACCTGTAAGTCTCTTTGCTGCAACAAAATCCGAAGCAGTCACTGGGTAGCAGTGAACTTGGTTTCCGCGTCTATAAATTAGGGGTATTAATCTTACTCCCCTTCAACTGTTGAGAGGATTAGATGAGATTAAGTCAGAAAACATCCAGAAAAGGCCTGGCACAGCATCTGATGAATTTGAAGAACTCAGCAGGGGAAGCTCTCTGCCCCCCTTACCTGCTGTGCTTGGAGGGGAGGGGCTCCCGCTCCTGCGGTCTGGGCAGCTGCTTCATTCCAGCAACTCTGCTGGACTCACACGAAGGCGATGAGACCGGGCCACTGTTCTTCGGGAGTTTGCCATGTGGTGGGGAAGATTGACACGTGTTACAGTTCAGAGGGACAGGGGCAGGGGAGAAGAAAGGGTGCTGGGAGAGCGTTGGGGGGCAGTGGCCTGCCAGGAGAGCCTTGCTCGGGAACAAGTAAGGGTTAAACGTGTAGAGGGAAGGAGAAGGTTCCTGTTCTAGACAGCAGGGGTGTCATGAGTGGACATGTGGCCTCAACACGTGAGTGAGGGAAAGGCCAGCATGGCTGGCTCATGAAAGGCCCTGGGGACCAGGGGAGCTGTTGAAGGTGTTATGTGGGTTTTTTGTTCTAAACATGGGGCAGGCATTTGGTGCAGTGTTTACAAGGCCTCTCGATGCCTGCATCTCATGTCAAAGGGCCTGGGTTTGAGTTCTGGCTCTGCTTCTGAGTCAGTTTCCTGCTAATGCACACCCTGGGAGGTGGCAGGTGTGGCTCAAGGAATTGGGTCCCTGCCACCTACATGGGAGACCTGGATGGAGTTTCTGGTTCCTGGCTTCAGCCCAGTTCAGTCCCAGCTGTTGCAGGCATTTGGGGAGTGAACCAGCAGATGCGAGGTCTCTGTCTCCTTCTGTCTCTACCTCTGTTTCTCTGCCTTTCAAAAAAAATCACCATCTAAAAAATATAAAGAATAAAAAATTCACTCTGAGGGCACACATTTGGCCTGGTGGTTGAGGTCTGGGCCTGAGTCCTAGCTGTGCTTGCTTGCCTTTTTTTGTTTTTTAAGATTTGAAAGGCAGATTACAGAGAGGCAGAAGGGGGGAGAGAGAGAGAGAGAGAGAGAGAGAACTATTCCATCTGCTGGTTCACTCCCCAAATAGCTGCAATGGCCAAAGCTGCGCTGATCTGAAGCCAGGAGCCAGGGGCTTCCTCCAGGTCTCCCACGGGGGTGCAGGGGCCCAAGGACTTGGGCCATCTTCTACTGCTTTCCCAGGCCATAACAGAGAGCCAGATCGTTAGAGGAGCAGCCGGGATTAGAACCGGCACCCATATGGGATGCTGGCACTGAAGGCGGTGGTTTTACCAGCAACACTACAGTGCCAGCCCTCTGGCTGTGCTTTCATTGCCAGCTTCCTGCCTATGTGGGAGGAAGCTGGGAGGTGGCAGATGAGCTCCCAAGTAGTTGAGACCCTGCCATGCATGCGGGAGCCCCAGGTGGAGTTCCCGGCTCTGGATGTTTCAGGCATTTGAGGAGTGAAGCAATGGGCAGGAGCTCTCACATACATATTCTTTCATGCACTCCAGTGGCTGTGTTTGGCGGGGGCGTCGAGACTGTGTACGAGTAGACCCTAAGGGAAGCTGCTCTCGGAGGGAAGGCAGGCTCAGCAGGGCTCAGGCTGCTTGGCCCGGGGCGGGTGCAGGCTGAGCAGCACCCACAGCTCTAGTGCGGGCACATGGGGGGCCCATGACGTTCGAACCAAGAAAGGGAAGACGCAGAGAAGTGGGGCTTGGGAGAACATTCTGGGCTGAGGGTCATGGTGGGATATCGGCGGCAGGGAGGGCCCGGAGGGAGTTCCTCTGAGGTCCCAGCAGAGGACAGACTAGCAGGTCGTGGGGCTGCGGGGTGGGTGGTGGTTACAGTAAGGTGGTCCAGAGGCTGCCTGACATGGCAGAGAGGAAGGCTCAAGGCAGAAAGGACCGGAGAGCGTATTACCTGTAAGGCATGGGCAACAAGTGGTTTCCAGTGCGGAGAATGAGGAGAAGTAACCAGAGAGGGAGGAGGAGGGGGCTGGAGAGGGGGGCACTGCAGAACCGGAGAGAGGCCAGCACGTCCACAGGTGGACAGGTAGATGCTGTGACTGCTGCTGAGGGCCCCTGTGAGACCAGCCATGAGGACTGGGCAGGGCACTGCCAGCCACTGATGGGGGTGGGGCCTCCAGGTGTCCCTGGGCTGACAACAAATGGGAGGTGAGAGGGTTACATGTTCCGCAGAAGCTTGGATAAGAGCAGAGGGAAAGAGGTAAGCATAGATAAGGAAAAGAATCAAGGGGAGCATTCAAATGATTGTTTTGAATTTGAGATGCAGGGAGAGCGAGAGCGAGCGAGCGTTCCCAACTACCGGGTTCATTCCCCAATGCCTGTAACAGCTGGGGCTGGGCCACACCATAGCTAGGAGCCAGGAAGTCCACCCAGGTCCCCCACATGGGTGGTGGGGGTTTAATTACTGGAGGCATCATCGTTGTATCCCAGGCTGTGCATTAGCAGGACGCTGGAGTCAAGAGCCAGGGCTGGGGGTGTGGGCATCCCAAGCAACAGCACCAGTATCGGTGCTTTTGAAAGCTGGCGTCCTAGGCACATCCATTCGTGCCGAGGAAGGAACGACGGGCCTGGATAAGGGCAGGGGGCCTTGTCGCCACCCCAGGCAGGGGCAGATGGGGTGCGCGAGGCTACCGATGGGTTTGCACGTGGGGTAGGACTGCGTATGGGAGAGGAAGGCGGTGTGTGTGGGCACTTTTGTCAGTGCAGCACGGGGTGGGACCAGCTTCTGGGAGCTGAAGGGGTGGGGCCTGTGGTGGGTGGGGTGTTCAGCAAGAGCACTAAGGGTTTTCAGCACTTTGAGGGGAAGGGAGAGAAAAGCTGGCCACTGACAAGCGTCTGTGCAGGGCTAGTCACTGCTCACGGGGAAACCACCACTGCCTACTTTTAGTAGAGAGCTCTGCTCTCTCCGGGCCTTCTCTCACTCCTCTCATCGTTCCTATGGGGCAGGTGCTACTGCTCGCCCCGTCTCACAGACGAAGAAAACGGGGCTTGGAGAGTGTGGGCAGGAGCAGAGGCAGGCACCAAGCCCGAGTCTTGCTACAGAGCCGCGCTGTCATCTGTAGTGGAGCTCCCGGTCCCGCTGGAGCTGCAGGCCAGGGGACACCCTTCTGCAGGGTTTCAGTTTTTGGACTCTGAGGAGGTGGAGAGCAAGCCTGGAGGGTAGAAGCCATGAGGAGTGTGGAAGAATGTGCCGCAGGGCAGTGGTCGGCGAGATTGCAAGGGTGAGTGTCAGGTGACCACCAGGCCGTGGAGAGGGAGGGGGCTGAGGCAGAGCGGAGGGGAAGGAGCTGCAAGGCTAAGGTGGCCAGAGGCTAATGTCCACCATGATGCTGGGGACTGATGGAGCCAGGAGAGAGGCAATGCAGGCAAACCCAACAGAGATGGGGAGGCTTGTGCGAGATGACAGCTTGAGGGAGGGAGTGGGGGTGAGCGGAGGCTCGGTGCTGCCTAGGGGGCTTGTGTGTGGGGGAAGACAGCAGCTCCCACCTTTGGGGTGGCTGTGTGCTGGGAGACCTGGCTGCAGTCCAGGTCGGGAGGTGAGGACTCTGCTGGAAGGGAGGCCTCTCGGTGACCGGGTTAGGGACTGATTTACATCCATGACCGGCTCGGCCCGTCCCCTCTGGGGACATCTGCTCTTGGCCACCCCTCAGCCGGGCTTTGCATTCACATGAACTCACTTGGCCTCTCCTTAGCTGTGGACTCTTGGGCCTCAGGGATAATTAATGCCTAGTGCGTACTATGGAGCTCAAGCTTTGTGCTCTTTCCTGTGCCGCTCCTCTTCCCTCAGCTGCTGGGCTGGGGCCGCGGGAGGGAAGGCAGGCATGGCTGGAGCCGCACCAGGGATGCAGGCAGCCCAGGTGCTCGGCCGGAGTCGTGTCTTTGGCCCACCCTCACCTCCTATTCCCCAGGAGTGCCTTCAGGCCTGTCCCTTCCTCTTCTTCCTTCAAGCAGTCACCGCCTGCACGTGGATCACCAGGGCCGGTGAGCTGCCTGTCATCCCACGTCTCAGCTTTGAGCCAGAGTGGCGGGGGCTCCACCTCTGCCGCCTGCATGGACGCCAGGAGCTGGGCAGCCAGAAGGTGGCTGTGCCCACCTGGGATCGCGATGCTGGCCCTCCTCTCTCTGCTTGGCTGCCAGCTCCCCTCCAGCGAGGCCAAGGTCTACAGCCGCTGCGAGCTGGCCAAAGTGCTGCACGACTTCGGTCTTAATGGATTCCGGGGCTACGGCCTGTCTGACTGTGAGAACCCCTCTCCCAGGCTGGACCCAGACTCCCTCCCACCCTCCTCCTCACCCAGGAGGTGTGGTCTCATCTGAGATGACAGGTAGAGGGGGCCCCCAGCACTGAGGCAGGTGATAGGCAGCAGAGTGGGACTCGCACCTTGGATTTCCCCTGCGGGCAGTCCAGAGTCAGAGAGCAGAGCAACTTTATGTTGAATTTGACCATGACCATGAGGGCCAGGTGTCCATACTGGGATGTAGAGAAGGCCCACTGAACAACTCTGGGATGTCAGACTTCTGCAGACTGGTGGCAGTTTGGAAAAGCCACCTGTGAACCCACATCTGGTCTCATTTTTCTCCAGTTCCAGCCCCCTGCGTAGATCCCACAAACGTCTTCCTAACCTTGCCTCTAAAGATTTCGCTCTTGTGAATTTATTCCACAAATGTCTCGAGCCCTGCTCTGTACTGAGCAATGAGGACGTGGGAAGGTTGTTGGCCCGAGCCGGGAGGCCCAAGGTCCAGCACTGGCCCCTGCCCCCTGCTGTTTGGCGGCTGGGTATGACCTTAGGGAAGTCACTTTGCTCTCAGAGCCTAGACTCATCTGCAAAGTATCTGGGGACCTGGAGACAGGGGAGGCTCAGGGAGGCACCTATGTTGGTCCTGCATGGGGAATTCTCTACTGGGTTGGCCTTGGCTTCTGACCCACGGGCCTGTGTCTGCCCCATGCAGGGATCTGCCTTGCTTACTTCACCAGTGGCTTCAACACAGCCGCTGTGGACCATGAGGCTGATGGAAGCACCAACAACGGCATCTTCCAGATCAACAGCCGCAGGTGGTGCAAAGACCTCTCCAAGAAGGCCCTCAACTTGTGCCGGTTATACTGCTCTGGTAGGGTGGCCCTGGGCTCTGGCCCTCACCTCTGCTGCTTCCTGAGCTTAGTTTGCTCCCCCTGCTTTAATCTGTGAGTGAGGACCTCCAACCCCTGACCACACACACAACCTGTGGGCCCGCTGGGGAGAGGGATGCGGGCGACCTTGTTCTCTGTGAATCTGACTTGGGGGTCCCAGATGGGAGACCAGCCTTAGAGCTGCAGGAGTGGGGGAAGGTTTCTGATGGAAGGGGAGAGGGACAGAGGGATGCCTGTGCTTCCAGACTGGTGAGGGTCAGAACTGGGCTTAGGATGGACGAGGGAGGGAGGGAGAGAGAGGGGGAGAGAGGGGGAGGGGGAGAGAGATGGAGAGAGGGAGAGAGGAGAGAGGGGGAGAGAGAAGGAGAGAGAGGGAGAGAGAAGGACAGAGAGGGAGAGAGAGATTGAGAGACTGGATGGCCAGTTCTGCCTTCTGCTTCCTCACGGTGTTTCTCTGCTTCCCACCCCAGATTTGCTGAACCCAAACCTCAAAGACACTGTTGTTTGTGCCATGAAGATAGCCCAAGAGCCCCTAGGTCTGGGCTACTGGTGAGTGACTTGGGCCTGGAGGCCCTGTGAGGTGGCGTGGCTGGTGCTGGCAGGGAACTGGCCTTTGCTGCTGCCTGCTTTGTCTCGCGCCCGCCACCCCGTGGCTGCGTGATGCCATCTCACAGCAGCTCTCGGGTGGGGGGTGGGGGGATTGCCAGCACCCACGATGCACAGACGCTGTGCTGAGTTTCAGGGAGGACGAGCAGCTCCCCAGAGGCCACAGGGCTCTTCCCAGTTTCACCCGGGTTGGGATCGTCTGCCTGAGAGTCCTCTAGGGCAGAGTCTAAGGAGGGTGTAGCATCTTCTACATGAACACTCAGTGTTATACAAAAACCCAAGATGTGGGTTGAAGGTGTTTTCTGCTTGAAGCGCGATGAAGGTGCAGCCTTATCTTTGTCCCCCATCCGAAGCCAACCTCACAGCCAGGGTGTTGGAGGAACATCCACTGGGCATGGGACTAGACATTGGGTTCACGTGGGTGCCCTGAGTCACTGCCCCTACAGCTGCCCCGCCTCTTTTGGTGGGAATTTCACCATTTGGAGTCTCCAGCCTTGTACATTTCTGGATGAGAGGCCAGCAGGGCAGGGGCAGAATCTGGGGAAGGTAAAATATTCCTGGTGGCTGGAGCTCCAGGACCTCAGACAGATGTGACCGGTGATAAGGCTGGGAAGGAAGTTCTGGGAGCCACTGGGTGTCACCCCAAGAGCAGACGGCAGGAGAGCAGAGACAAGGAGCGTGGTCTGCACGGCTTTGCAGGAGTCTTAATGAAAGATGTAGGTTCTGGACAGGGCAGTGCACTGGTGACAGGTACCAGAGGGCTGTGCACGGGGGCTGTGGAGGACCAGCAGGCACAGGTGGGAGGTACCCAGGAGAGGCGAGGTGGCAATGACTAGGAATCTAGGGGTCCAGAGATGGGTGCTCAGTGGCTGCAGCCGTGGAGAGGTATGTGCAGGTTTGAGAACAGCTGAAGCCCTAGCACCTGAGCCTGCTGAGAGGCAGGACATAACGCAGGTGCACAAGGTGAGGAAAGGTGAGGCAGGCAGGCTTAGGCAGCGAACCAAGGGCTCGGAGAAAGCAGTCCTTAGGCTTGGAATCAAGGATACGCCCAGAGTAAGCTCCCAGCCTGGCCAGCCCTGGGGAGGGCAGTCCCTGAACATAGAGAGTTGTTACACACACACGAACGCATGCCGAGGGCTCAGCTGTGCTGGGCCCAGCGCCGTGTGCTTGGCTTCAGCTGCCCTCCAGGGTCTCACAGTCTAGTGTCAGAGACAAACAGGCCAGATGACCTCCCCTGCCACGTGGGTCTCTGGGGGTCCTTCGGGGTACTCTCAGTTGGTGGGCGCTGTATGGGGCACCAGAGAGGGCATTCACGAAGCACAGGACTGCAGACTCCATGGTCTTGCTTATCTCCCTCAAGCCGTCAGCTGTGGGCGGGGTTAGGTACTGGTCCTGAACAGCCTGGACGGCCCTGGGGGACAGCCGAGGGGGCTTGGCTGTGGGCACGGTTCTGCTTCTGCCGAGCACTAGCTGTGGGCCTCGGATTTGCGACCTTGCACCCAGGCTGAGGTTTTCATTCAGGAAACAGAACATGTAACAGGCGCCCCATCTACTGAGACGGGAGGGGGCTGGTGATACAGGACTTGGTGACTGGACTATCTACACCGTAAAGGGCTGTACACCTGGACGGTGGCATCACGGCCACCAGAAGCAGCAGGGTGAAGGCAGGAGCATTGGACTGTGGCTCCAGGCCTTTGACCTTGACTGCTGGATGAACTTGGTAGAACAAGAGGCTACAAAATGTCTGTATTTAGGTCCATTCCCCCTCTCCCTTTTCCTTGCTTATCCTTTCCTCCAGAACACTCCTTGCTTGTCCCCTTCACAGGCCCCTTTGCACGCTGCCCTGTAGTTTGTAGCCCCCGTCTCCTTCCTGTTTTCTGTGCCTGACCCGGCCTCCCCCACTTCCTGGTTCTCTGTCCTCAGGGAGGCCTGGAGGCATCACTGCCAGGGCAAGGACCTCAGCGACTGGGTGGACGGCTGTGAGTTCTAGGCGCTTCTCTGCATGGACAAGGCCACACACAGCAGGTCGGGCGACATGACCCAGGCTTGGGAAGACAAGCCAAGCAATAAAGCGTAGTTTAACGTAACTGGTTCCGAGCTCTGTGTTTGCAGGTGCCTTGTGATGGCCGGGGCCTCTCAGTGCTTCCTCGCCTCACCTGTCCGCCTGGGCTGGGCTTCAGGTGCACGCAGGGGCCGGGAGGATCAGTGCCTTCCCTGCCCACACCTGGTGGTGTAGGGCTGGGGTCGCCAGTTAGCAAAACAAATAACAGCAACAACAAGATAGCCCAGTTGACTTTGCATTTTGGATTTACAAGGAATATAAGTATATCCCAAATATTGTGTGGGATACACTTATAATAAAATTCAAATTTAACCAAGGGTCTTGTGTCTGATAACCCTGGCTGGCTCTGGCATGTCTGAGAAGATCTCTGGGATGCATTTTCTGTGGTTGGGGCTACAGATGGCAGCCACCAAGCCTTGGGCCCTCCCACTGGTGGTTGCTGGAATACCGCCGCGGGGTGGTGCAGGTGAATGACAAACCTGGGCCTGGGCCATCTTCTGCCCAGCTCCTCAACACCTTCCACATGTGGGAGATTCAAGAGCAGCTGATAGCGATCAGCAGGTCACGCAAGAGGCAGACGGTGGCTGGAGGGTCGGGTAAGAGGCACCAGAGGCTGTCGGGAAGCCAGCTGCACAGCCAGAGAGTTCTCTGCCTTCCTCGGCACATGGGAAGCTCAGGAGAAGACAGCCCTGTCCCTCATGGACTGGAGCTCAGGGTCTCAGTTCACTGCGGACGACCGCAGAATTGGAGGATCACAGGGGGTACTGTCGAGGTGAGGCGGTGGTGCCCGAGACGGCTGCGTGTGGAGTCGAGAGGCTTCAGAGAACGCAGAGCTGTTGGTTGGGCCATGGCTGGTGCTTCTTGGAGAGTGAAGGGGCTGCCCCTGCAACACAGCTGCTATCTCTGAACACCACCGGGTCAGCAAACAGCAGAGCTGTGGCTGAGTGTCCACAAGTGGCAAGGCTGGCCAGCTCCTTCTCCCACTTGTCTGGTCCATGCAATATTGTGACTTGAGAGCTGCCTGTGTCTGTGGCCAGATGTGAGGGCCACTGCCAGGAGAGGGGGCGCCAGGACCACTGGATCCACGAGCCCAAAGATAGGGAACGCTGCTGCTTTCTACTTCTCAGGCAAACGTGTAGCTACTGTAAGCCGTGTGTTACCTCATTGAGACTGCAGAATGGCGGCTGTGATTTGGGGCTGTTGCTATCCCGGTTTGCAGGTGAGGACAGAGGCTTGCGGGTGCATTTGCACCCAGTGACGATGACTCCACGTGCGTTGGGTCACTGCACTTCGTGGACAGGTGATGGTCGTGGGTCACCTGGCCAGCGACCCACAACCTGTCCATCTCTCAATGATTCGGGTTCTTGAGTTCAGCTTCACTTTCTGCTGCTGGTTCTTCTGCTGGGCCACGTTCGGCTCACCGGGGTAAGGAGCTCAGGAGTGAGGCTCCTGGGACCCAGGGCGGAGCTGTTGAAAGCACGTGGAGGCTCGGGGCTGGCATGATGGCCTCAGGCTGGGGCTGAGTGTCTGAATGCATGGGGGAGGGGCGAGTGCCCCCTCAAAGCCTTACCTGTGGGAGGGTTAAATCATAGCACACTCACGTGTAAGTGAAGCCAGCCGCGCCGCGGGCTCGGAATCAGGTTCCTAATGAAGAACTCTGTCCTGAGTTCTCCCTGCTTCCCTGCCGTGCTCTCTCCCCGTGTTCCGTGGATCAGGAAGTCCTGCCTGTTTCGCCTTCTTTGTATCTCTGGAAACTGTCCCTCCCTTCTTCCTGGGCCAACTGCAGGGGCTTCCCTCGTCCTCCCAGCTCCCCTGTCCTGTTTCTGCCTTGCTTCCCAGCCCCCTGGCTTCTCTTGCCTTCAGGCTACAGTTCAATCCCCTTGGCTGGACGGACTTGCCCAAGGTCCTTGGCAACCAGCGCCCATGGGACTGCTGCAGGTTCACCTCTCAGCTGTTCAGAAACGCGTGCTCTAGCTGGTTTGGGTTCCTGGTGGTTGGTTCCCAGAGGGTAGCCGGCTGCTTCATCCCTTTTGCCACCACCTACCGTGCTTCCCCTCACTTATTATACTGCAGTGCATAAATTCTGTCCTCTGATTGCAACAAGCGGTTTCCTCCGCAGTGGGCTCTCGCACCTGCTGTTCTGTCTCCTGGCTGCCATTTCCCACTCCCTTCTCCTCAGTCAGGTCTCATCTCAGTTTAACATCCTCAGAGTGGCTTCTACCAAACGTGCCCGCCCCCAGCCTGTACCCATCTCTCAACGCACCAGTCCCCCAGCGAGCCCAGTGTGCCTTGTGCACCTGTGTAGCTCTTGGTGCTCAGGTGGCTGTGCACGGCCTGTTGCCGCCTCTGCCTAACTAGACTTGGCTTCTGAAAGACAAGGATCGGATGTTACCAGAAGTTCACATACACTGGAGACAACGAGTTCGTCAAATGAGCCACGGCTTTCAGGGTCACAGCACAGAGAGCAGCTTCAAGGCAGCCCGTCCTAAAGCATTCTTCACAGCCATTATCCAGGTGTGGGGGTGTTTTGAACACAAACACCAAGGTAGCCTTGCTCAGGAATGAGATCTGGCAGTGGGTAGGGTGTGTGTGTGTGTGTGTGTGTGTGTGTGTGTGTGTGTAGGACCCTAAGGCAACCAAAAGATGCATGCATCTCCCAGATGCAGTGGACACAGCCATCACTTTAAGATCCAGGCCACTGGACGTCTGCTAAGTGAATGCCACTGTGGCTTTTGATGTACGCGGGTCCCTCAGCCCCCGCACGCATAAAAGCATTCCACAGAGCCCCAGCTCGGGTCTGCTGTCGCTGTTCACTGTATGCACCTTCATTCACTTGGCCCTCTGTGAGGATGGGCTGCTGCACAGGCACCAGCAGGTGCCAAAGGTTTACAAAAATGATACGTGAGAAAACTTGAAATCGATCAAATCCTATCATTTTCATGTTTTTTCCCCTGAAAATTGAAAAATGACAGTCATTGTGTCACTTTGAGGGAAGAAATATTGGCTGCTCTCCATGCTGCTGTTATGTTCTTCTGGGTGGTTGGTTAGTACCTTCTAGAACAGGGCGACTTTGGCTATCACTTAGAGGATCCCTCCTAGAGTTGTGTGCATAGATTGTACACACACACACACAATCGTGCCCCTGTTTTCTGGGAAGACAGTTCTTAGCTTTCCCCTTCTTTCTAAATGCGTCATTGATCCAAATGAGGTTAAGAATCAATGTTTTACCAAAAGGAAAAAGAAAAGATAGAAGGTGCATCTTTGCTCATTTTATCCTCATAACAGTGCTGCAGACTGGGCAGGAAAACAGGATCTGAGCAGCAGGTTCCATACATGCTCAACCTAGAATCATAGACTGGTTTGGGGAGCAGCAGAGGCATCGCCTGTCTGTTTTCTATCCCTTCCCCCTTGATAGAGGGGATGCTGATGCCAGGAGAAGTGACATGAACGGTTCAAAGCCATGTGGTCAGTTTATAGCAGAGACGGCCAAGACTCAGTCTTTTGACCTCTGTCCACAGCCTTTGCCAGCCTATTGCTTCATTCTTGAGAAGCAAGTAGCATCAGTTTCACCAAATGGCAAACTGAACGAGTAAGAGGTTCTCTTCCTCTTACCTGTCCTCAGGTAGGCTTGGATCTTACTGCCCTGTTTCCACCCCCCTGCCCCCAGCCAAATCCTCAAGCTGTTAGCCTCAGGAGCATGCAGAAACCCGTGCCCCCAAAGCTCCTATGGGCTAAGAGGCCAAGGGTGCCAAAAGAGTGAGGAGAAAGCTATGAGTTCAGATGCCTGGGGAGTGGGGGGAAGCATGTGTGGGACCCTGGCCGTGACGTTACTCTCGGCTGGTGGCCAGCTCTTCATCCTTCAACACCTGCCCACATCTGCATGGCCACTTTGGGCCTTTCCCCCTTTGTTGCTGTGGATTCGTTTCTGAGAGGAAGAGCATGGTGGGGGCAAGAGGCGCGGAGTCACCACACAGACCCCGGGAGTTGGGTAAAAGCAGGCTAGAGGCGAGCAGCCTGCAGACTCATTTATTTCAGTTGATAAAGCAGCTTATATAGCCAAGGCAGCCAATCCGGTCAAGGGGCGGTCTATGCCCTAACCAGTCACACCCTGTTGCCAGGCAATTTCTGAAGCCATCCAATCACAGCCTATTGCCAGTCAGGCTCTGTTGCCGGGAAGTTTCCAAAGCCATCCAATCACGATCTGATGTCAGGCTCCGTTGCCATGTGGTTTCTGAAGCCATCCAATCACAGCTTGTTGTCAGTCGGGCTCTGTTGTGTGGTTTCCGAAGCCATCCAATCACGGCCTGTTGCCAGGCAGTTTCTGTTGCCAGCAGCCATCTTGGCATGGCCTTCTCATTCCACCACACCCCTTTCCTTGCCCTGCTGGGTGCCCCTGCACAGGCATGTGTCTCCTCTGTCCCCTCTCACTTGCCTCCACCTGGGAATTTGGATGCATCTTTCATAGCCATGTGCTTCCTTGTCGGTTCCCTGCTCAGATGCCACATTCCTTGAGGGCGCAGGGCAGACAGATCCTCCCCAGGAACTGGGAGAGGGGTGGGCTGTGTTCCTCAGGCACAGGCCTTCCTACCTTCCCCTGCCCCCTTGGCCCACCTTCGCCGAGCAGCTTCTGAGCAGTGGGCTGTGCCTGGCTGTGTGGGGATCTGGGCTGCCCTCCCAGAACCCCTGCTCATCCTCTCAAGCCCTCTGCTGGCTCTCAAAACTATTCAGTCTCTGAGCTTGGGGAGGAAGTGGTCTCCTTGTTCTCCAGGCTCAGGTGGGCTGAGATGAGCTTGACCTGAAGGAACTCACTGCCCACCAAGGCCACACCTGTGGGCAGGGCCTGTCTCTGACTGCTTCCTTCCGGGTTCACCAAGAACCTTCTGGAAACTGGTCTTCCCTTCATCAGGCAGGGCTTGTGGCTCCTCACTAGGCCTGCTCATGGGTCCAACTCTCACAAATAGCTTCAAGCTGGAGAGAAGGTAAATAAAAGAACTCCAGCCTCTCTCTGCCCAAAACAACAAAGCAACAACGTGTGAGCAGCCAGCCTGGGACCCCAGCCCAGGTCCCAGAGAAAGGCCTCCTATTCTCTGTCCCCAACCGCAGTGAGCCTGGCAGGCTCTGTTTCTGCCATCCGCGTGTCTCTGTTCATACTTTGTCTTTACATACGCAGCTCCTGTTTGAAATGATGGCAACGAACACCTGCTACTCCCTGGAATTTAGACCGTGTATTGTCTTAACCACCACTCAAGAATCAGGAGCTGGCTGGTGATGGTTCTGGAATTTTCTATGTTGCCTTCCTCCTCTTTCTTTTAGCAAGTTACGTGGGTAGACCCAGTCCAAGCTGAACAAAACCAGAATCTGTAAATCAGATGGGGGCACATGTTCACGTGAGCTCTGAAACGATCCGCGTGTGTTTGGATATCCTTTGCACCATCACAAATTGATCTACTTTTTTTTTTTTCTGAAGTCAGAAATCCAATGAAGCAGTTCAAATTGCAACTTAAGCTATAGATTTTTAAAAAATTTATGAAGCTGTTAAACTGGAACAAGGCAGAAGCATCAAAGAGACTCCCAACTAACTGAACAGACATTTCATTCGGCTCCCGTCTCTGCCAGGAGCAGTCTGCGGCTGCCTCTCAGATCTCGGCTCCTCTGCCGGCCCAGGCACCAGCAGGATGCTTTCCAGCTGGCTGGAGTGAGGAGCTTGTCACTGCAGACGGACTGCTCTCCCCTAGTGAAGTCCGGGAAACGAGCACTCTCAGTCCCTCTTGCACCAACTGAGTCACTTGGTGGGTCCAAGTGGAGTCTGGAGCCTGGGAGCTGAAGGCTGCAGCTCTGGCACTGCCACTCACTCACTGGGTGGCCCTAGGCCTGTCCCTCTCCTCCCCTACTTGGAAAGTAGGGTGCTCTGGGGTAGGTGTTTGGCACAGTGGTTAAGACATCTACATCCCATAGGGGAATGCTAGGGTTTGAGTCCTGGCTCTGCTTCCAACTCCAGCTTCCTGCTAATGAGCACCCTGGGAGGCAGCAGATGAGGGCTCAAGGACTTGGGTCCCTGTCATCCATGTGGGAGACCTGGATGGAGTTCCTGGCTCCTGGCTTCCCTCTGGCCCAGCCTCAGCTGTTGTGGGCATTTGGGGGAGTGAACCAGTGGATAGAAGGTCTCTGCCTGACTTTCTGCTTTTCAAATAAGCCAAAATAAATAAACCTTTAAGAAAGTGGTGGCATTAGGCTATATGATCCAAAGGGTCTGTGGTCAGGAGAATTATGATCGCTAAGGTGTGTGTGTATCCTAATCCCTGGAAGCTGTGACCGTGTGACGGTCCACGGTAGGAGAGACTGTGAAGGGGTGATTATGCTGATAATCTGGCTTCCTCTCCTCCCAACTCAAGGTTATCTGGGGGCTCAGTGTCCCTCATAACTGGAAGAGGGAGGCAGGGAGAAGTCAGAATTGAAGAGGGTGAGATTAGAGAAGAAGGTCAGGTTATGTGATGGGAGGAGGACTTGGCCCATGATGGCTGGGTTTGAGGATGGGGGAAGGGACCACTAGCCAAAGACCGTGGGCAGCCTCTAAGCCGGACAAAGCCAGGACATGGGTTTTTCCCTCAGAACCTCCTGGAAGGAGTGTGGCCCAGCCAGCGCCCAGACTGCTGTCCACCAAGACCCGTGCCAGACTCGCGGTCTGTAGGACTGCAAGAAGATACCTTTGTGTTGTATGAAGTCACCAAGGTGGCTGTAATTTGCTACTGCAATGGCAGGATACATGCAGGGAGGGCTCTTCCCAGCAATGCTGCACTCTGTGTCTCAGAATCCAGACCCAGTGTTGCTAAGAGCCGGGGCAACCCCAGCTGAGAGGGGGCTTGGCGGAAGGCAGTGCACGCTGCTCATCCCAGCTGCCTGCTGGAGTCCCTGTTACCATGGGCCCCGGCCACTCTGTGCAGGAGCGGGACTGGAACCACTGTCCTGCTGGCAGGGGGAGATGGTGGCATCTCAGGAGATCAGCCAGTCTTGCCATGTTCCCTCTGCACAGGAAACATGTTATCTTCTCCCTCAAATTGAGATGGCTGAGCCCAGAGCGGTACCGGGTCCCACCACTGCCACACAGCTGCGGGGACAGGAAGGCTATGGGGTCAGGGCAGCTTACTCCCAGAGTGAGACTTTTCAGTTCGTCCCTCTGGTGCAGGAACTTTTCCTTGTGTTAGTGGAGACACAGAGACAGATGATAGGCTGGACGGCAGAGCAGGAGCCAAACCCTGAGCCGCTGGTCTTGCAGTGCTTCCTGTGCACCGCGGGGCAGGTTCAAGCCCCAGGAGGCTTTCCCTCTCTGCTTAGGGGGAGGTTGAGTTGGGAGTGCTGGCGTAGGCAGGGGGAGGAAAAGGCCAGGCTGAAGGAAGTGTTGTGATGGGGCTGGCATGGTACAGCCACGAGGACGGGAATTCTGCCCTAACAAACTCTCGCTTGTCACTGGGAGGCTTCAAGGCACTGCCCAACCTCCTGTCCCACCCGGACAGCCTCTCAGCCGGCAGTCTCAGCAGCATGGCAGGATGCAAGCGGGAACCCCTGGGCGGGCAAGGCAGGTGGGCTTGAAGGGGGCAGAGGTGGGCTGGGGCCCGCGTCCAGCCGAATCCTAGCATCTCGCCAGCTCTGAAGCAACGGTTCTTCTAGTCTTGCTGTTTGCTTCCTCTGCAGACACTGCTATTCCCAGCGGGGCTTGGAGGAGTCAGGGCAGCAGGCAGAAGCACAGAGGCCATGTGGGCCGCCTTTGTGGTCCCAGCGGAGGGCAGCGTTCCCCCGCCAGCCTGCAGAAGATGGCTGGGTCCTGCTGGTGGGCTGTGAAGGTCATGGACAACCATTTCCCAAACTTCCGAGCACAGTAAACCCGAGAGAGTGCCCATTGTGTGAGGACTGCACTGTTATGCGGGACTTCACAGTCACCTGCCACTTGTCACCCTTCCTAAGGCCCTGGGGAGGCGACTGGGGGAGGAGCAAAGGCAGAAACCACTCGGCCATTTCCACAAGACCAGCTTTTAATATGACCGTGATTCGAAGCACGAATAAATAAACGCCAAAGAAAACGGGGAAAAAAAACAACCGAACGTCAAAACCAAAGGCCATAAAACAAAGGAAAACAAAAAACCTCCGACAGACGAACGAAAAAGCCCCCAAATAAAAAATGGATCAGACTGTACAGGCTGTGTCACAGAGAAGAATGATGTGGCGCTGGGGACCCCAGGCCGCCGGGCCGCCTCCGCAGGCGCGGGGGTGCAGGGGAGATGGCCACTAGTCACCTGCAGCCCAGAGGCCTGGGGGCCAGCTTGGGGGAGGGGGGATTGTGGTCAGGTTAAGAACCTTCACGAATGACACAGGACCGGATGGAGCGGGGAGTTCTGCGGCTTCTCTCTGGCCTGCACGGTTTCGATGCCAGCGTGGCCTCCCGCCGACTCTGGGGCTGGAGTCTGGTCCTGCCGCGTGGACAGGACGACGTGGCGCTGGCGCCGTGAGAAGTCTGAGCATGCAGGTGCTTTGTACATCTGGCAGTGAGATGTGATGGCAGGTCGGTTCTGGGACAGTTCCCGAGCGCGACTCATGTCTCCTGGGAGGGTCGCGCGGCGGGGCCCGGGGCGCGGCTGGGCAGAGTCTGCAATGTGTGCATAGGGGGCTCTTGCTTCCTTCCGTCGTTGTCAGGGGCCATCCCACCTGCCTTGCTGTCCCCTGTCCTGGGTCTTGGGCCTCGAGGTCTGTGTGGGGGTGTGGGTGGCCCGAGGGGTGTCAGCAGGCGATCTCCTCCAGGGTGCCCAGGGCGGTCTGCAGGGGCACGTTCACAGTGTGGCTGATGGTTTCGGAGTGGTTTGGCATCGTGTCACAGGTGCTCTGTGGGGACGGGAAGGGTGGGCAGTCAGTCAGTAACAAGGTATCTCCGTACCGCCAGCGGCCCAGCCTAGGCCGGGAAACCAGCTCCCTGCTTGTGGGCTCCCCGTGCTGGTGCCATGCTGGGGTGTGAGGCTGCTCCCTGGGACCGGGGAGTAGCTGCTTGTCCTTCTCCCTTGATGGGCTGCATGGCTCTGGGTCCTGCTGGCTGCCTTGGGAAGCCCCCCTGGGGGCTCTGGGTGAGGAAAGGGCAGCCTATGGCTGGGCCTGGAGCAGGCAGTGCCAGTGCTGAGCCCAAGCCAGGGGGAGGAGGGAGTTTTAGCCCCTAAAGACCAGAGCAGCTTCAGGGTTAAGCTGGCCCCAAAGAGGTGTAGTGGTGGGTGGGGCAAGATGGCTGAGTCTGCGGGATGCTGGGGAGGCGGGTGGGAAGGGAGCCAGGAGACTAGCTGGGGGGTGTGGCAGGAATCTGCAGGGCAGTTGGTGAGACAGGGCTGGCCGAGGGGAGGCCATGACTACAGAAGGAAGAAGGGAAGGGGGTGGGGAGGGAACCACCACTTGCTGAGCACTTACTACGAACTTGGCACTGCGCTCTTTTATGGGCTCTGTCTCAAGCTGCAGACAACCCTCTGAGGCCCCTGGGATCTTATGCCATTTGCCCCAGGCACGTAGCTAGGAAGCAGGGGGCTAACCCAGCCAGGCCAGGTGAGATCAGAGCCTGGGCCCCTCCATACTGCCACTGCCCCCCAAGTAGGAGCTGTGTTCTGTTCAACAGAGGTAAGAGAATCAGAGCGTGGTTCTTAGCTGGGTAGTAAGCGGAACACAAAGGGGAGCCCCCATCGGGGGCTTTGGATCCATTTGGATCCATTTCCTATCGGGGAAAGGGGCTTTGGATCCATTTGGGATCTGCTGGGGGTGTGGCTCTTCCAGGGCTGGAGGGTGGGGGAGCCCAGTGACACCTGCACCGGTCAGCCAGGAGCTGAGCCCAGGAGCACACTGAGCTGAGGAAGGACAGTGGTGCACAGACAAGGGAGGGGCTGCTGCTCCAGCTGCAGGAAGGAGCGGCAGAGGGGGCAGTGGTCAGACACCTGGAGAGCAGCTCTGACACTCGCTGGCTGTGTGGCTTTGGCCCCTGGGCCTCAGTGCTGCAAGTGCAGAACAGAGGACAGACCTTCCTCTAGGGTGACTGTATGGCTACGATGGCACGGACCCCTTGCACACAACAACAGTCAGTTGCTACCATGATGTCACCGCTGCAGCCAGTCTCTCACACTCTATGCCGCCTTCAAATGAGACAGACGCCAGAGACCCCCGGGAGTCAGGAAGCTGACTTACTAAGGGCTGGTCTTGTTCTCCCTAGGCTGCAAGGTCAGGGGCAGCCGTCTGGGCTGGGCGGGGCCATCCATGGCTTACCCAAGTGGCCTTTGGGATGAGGCTGAATTGGAGTGTCCTTGGATTTGGGCACCGACACAGGCCACGGGGAGGTGTGCAATGAGTCACACTCCTGCCCAGCCCCAACAGCCAGGTTCGCGTCGCCTGTGTGCACCAGAGGAGCCAAACCATTACCAACCAGCAGGCCGCTCTTACCACGTTCTCGTCGTGGCTCCCCTCATCTTCCTCTTTGCCGAGCAGGTCTAATAGCTTCTCTTTGATCAGCTGCAAGAAAAGCAGGAAGGGGCCTGGTCAGGCTGGGGGCGGGGTGGGGGATGCCAGGCAGAGGGACCACAGGGGCAGGGCTGGGCTGGGCTGTGGCTGGACCAACCAAGGCCAGAGCCCAGCCTGGTGGGTAGCTCCAGGAGGAGTGCAGCCTTCAGGCCAACGTGGGGTTCTGCTACAGTGGAGGGAACAGAGGGGCTCTGTGTTGCAGTGGCTCTGTGGATGGCAACTGTGGATGAACAGAAGGTGCTGGTGGGACCGGCTCCCCGTCTGGTCTCAGGCTCAGGACGCGCCTAGGGTGCCCTTTCTGAGGCTGGGCCTGCAGGGAAAATTTCGTACTTTTGGGCCTGACACTGCGGTGGCTCACAAGATCAGGGCATGCCTGGGCTCACAGCATTTCATTCCCATCAGTAAAGGATAGCTCTTCTGTGTTACTGGTGTGATTCCATCACCCCAAACTGCGCTTTTCACACCAGTTCATCCACAAGGAAGAACAAAGTCTGCCCATGGGGCCTGACTAGGGTCTGGGGTCACTGTGCTGAGAGAGGCAGGAGGTGCCCTGCAGGGCCCCATGGTGATGCCAGGGGCCTCGGGTCAGGAGCAACCCTCCCCGAGCTCCCATGTGCAGGCCTTGCCTTAGGAGGTCCTCGGGGACTCTGCAGGTCTGGGCGTGCCTTGGGAATTGTGGGCCACTGTGTCTGCAGCGAGGCACATCGTGGGTGAACAGGGAGATGCTGCAAGTGGACACCGGGTCAGGATGGAGCCACGCATGGGCTCGGGCTTCCCGGTACAGGTTAGCCCCTGACTTGGCCTTGCCCTTCAGGTGGTTGGCTGAGCCCTCCGGGGGTCTCTGTCTAGTCTGGCCCTCAGCAGAGCTGACCTGGGGGAGATGCAGGCAGGAAGGCAGCGGGCACTCTCCTGCCAGAAGCGCGTCTGTTGCTGCAGCTTCCGAGCATCTGTTCCAGCTGCCTCTGGCGGGGACACGTCCTCAAACTAACAGCTGGGGGCTCTGGCCTGCCCTGCTGCATGCTTGCTGCCAGGGCTGCTGGGCCTGGCTGAGAAACACCCCTGTGACTGGCAGGGCCGTGGAAGACACAGGTCCCAGTCACCCAGAGAGCCAGCGTGTGCACGATGTGTTGTGTGTGCACATGGTAAATATGTGAAGGTGATGCATGTGTGTGCATGGTATATGTGTATGTGGGTCGTGTGACTGTGTGTGCAGGTATGGACACACCACTGAATGAAGCTGTCAGCTTTGGCTTAGCTGTGGGAAGGACTTGGAACCGGCAGTCTTGTCTCTTTTCAGTCCTGGCCCTCCCTCCCTGCAAGTGTAGACAGCCCATGGCTCTGAGGACAGAATCAGGGTTTCCATTTCTGTCACCGCCCCCAAGGGTCCCCTCCCCTGCTCCCTGCCCTTAGGACTCAGTAGTGAACACTACAGGTGCAGGAGGAGAAGCGGGCTGTGGGTGCACAGCCTGCCCTATGCCTTGGGTCTGAGCACAGGGGTTGCAGGAGGCACCATCCCAACTCTTACCTCATAAATATAATCAAAGAGCTCTAGTATGGTAAGGATACTAGCACCAATGAACAATCCCATCTGACCACCAATATCACCTGGAGAGAGAGGGAGAAGACCAAAGGTTTGGTGTTACACAGTGTCCAGAAAGGAGCAAAGCTAGAAGAAGTGAGAGGCTAGACCTCGGGATGGTACCCCTCCCACAGGGGCACCTGGTCCCCAAGGCCACCCTCACTGCGCAGCTCTGAGAGCTGAGGTCTGTCAGCACCCAGGGCAGACTGACTGCTTACTGCAGGGGTGGAGATGAGCCCTTCCGAGCCACAGGGCCCGTGGGCTTGCTCAGGTGATGCTGAGACCCGCACTGCCAGGCCTTGTGGGCTCTGGGCTGGGAGCAGAGACAGATGTGTATGGTCTTTGGGCAATGGAACCAGCCAGCCCCAGACACTTGTACCAGGCACACTGGGTGGGGTCTCGGGAACAGTGGCACCATAGATGCTGAGCACCCACCCAGTGATGCCCAGCTTTGAGGGCCTCCTTGGGGCACCTCCCAGCCATGGCATGAGGCCTCAGGAGGCATCTCCTATCTCCCCTGCTCAAAGGTAAATGTTCGGTTTGGCCTCATCTAGGAGCAGAGGCTCTCGCCTGGGGTATATGGGTCCTGGTCAATGTGTTCCTAGATTTGTCTTCAGACCCCCCTGCATCAAAGTCTCCCGGGAGACTTGTAATGAGCACAGACACTCCCACCGGTATGACGCTTTCTCCAGAGACAGCTCTAAGACCATAGAGTGGCCGCCAACACACCTGGGGTGTGGCTTTGACCATCCCAGTGGCTCTGCCTCCAAAGCACCCTTAGTGGTGGTGGGGGCTGAGAGGGCATGGAGGAGACAGACTGTGAACTCCTTTCCAGCTCTGATCTCCAAGACTGTCAGCCTCAGGCTGGGTTGGGGACAGCGACCAGGCGTGGTGCGCACTGTTGGCGTGAGTGTATGGCCATACTGGATATTCCAGGCTGGCCCTCTTGGTGTGGGGACCTTCTGATGGGTAGTATGCCTCACTCCTTCTCTGCTGATGGCTGGGTGGAGCCCAATACTCACATCCCCAGGTGAACCAGGGGAAATGGTGGGGATGGGGCTCTTTGGTGGGACTTGGTGCTGGGTTCCAAACAACTCTTCCTCCATCCTGCCCCCACCCCATTTTCTCGAACGTCCTCAGTGAAGGGTTGCTGGTCAGTGTGGGCTTGCAGACGTGTGTGCCAGGTATGAGGGGTGTGTGTATCTGTGTGCAGTGGGACTGAGCATGGAGTGCTGTGCCAAGGATGCATGCCAGGGCATGGAGTGTGTGCACCTGTTTGTGTAGATTCATACAGGTTGTCTGGATCTGACAGTTCTGAGAGCGGCTATCAGTGCACAGGTCAGGCACCCAGAGCGCATCCTGGTATGTGTGAGTGTGGGTTTGTGAAGACGGGCAGAGAGTGTCCAAGTGTGTGAGCATGTGTAGGTGTGTGTTGGAGTAGGCTCATGTCCCGTGTCTGCCAAGGTTTGCTGCGGGTGGACACGTCCCTGCAGCTGTGTGGCTGGCCCACGGGGCCGGGAGGTGGGCACTGGCATGTGGCTGTGGACCCCTGTGGGCACACCGCCCTGAGCCTGGGGCCGGTGTGTGGGTTCAGGGTGGCGTGTGTGCCTGGGCGGTGTGCAGTGTGTGGACGCTGGGAGGTGAGAAGGGCTGCGTGGTGGGCCTGCCGGCAGAGGGTTTGTGAGTGGCACACGCTCTCCCTGCAGGAGGTCCAGATGGCAGCAGCGTCTCCTCAGCGGGCTATTCTGGGTAGGAACAAGATGCTGGGAGTGAGCTCCTCCTCATATCTGATGCAGACATGACAGATTCAGAACACAGGCTCCTCGCGCTGTGTGTGAGTGTGAGTGTGTACGAGAGAAACCACGAGCACGTGTTGGGGGAGGGAGGGATGCATATCCTGAGCTGTCTTTAGGAAATAAAGGTTGGAGCCAGCGTGTGGCAGGTGGCAGGGCTGGGGTCAGGGGTGTGACCTGTGTCCTGAGACCCAGGGCATTGGTTCATCGCCTTTGGTCTCCGCCACCTCTGAGGCCTGAGTGATGGCCACCTTAACCTGGCTGAGGCCGAGCTATGGCCTAGTTCCTGGCTTCCTGGAGGAGGTGTGCGAATGCTCAGTGGGCGGCTGGATACTGCAGCTGGGGTCTGGATTCCTGACAGGGTGACTGTCCAGAAACTTCTATTTTTGGACCCTCTGGGCTGGGGCTTTGTAGTAGTTAACTGTCACAGCAAAATCTCAAAGTGGGTTTCAGCAAACCCATTTTGCTGATGAGGGATGGAAACGCAGCCAGGTGAAACCACTTGTTCCTGCTCTCGCAGCTGGCACTCAGCTGGCCTCCCAGCTGTGCCTCCAGGGTGCTCCTGCCACCAGCTCAGCTCACAGAGGCCGCAGCTGGCGCTCCCTGTAGGGAGCAGGCACCCGCTCTTTCTGAGAGTGAGGGGCGCTGGGAGCAGGGCTCGAGGGCTGGGTCCTCTCACGGTCCTCTCTCGGGGTCTTGCGCGCTTTGCCTGGGGTGGGGCTCACATTACCTGCCTGTGTCTGTGGTGTTTCACTGGGGCCAAGGTGGACGTGTGAACTCGCGTTGGGCTGCAGCAGGTCTGTGGACACCTGGGGAAGGCGGCCCTTTTCCTGTGCTCTGCAGAAGACCTGGGGCCATCCCTCGGGCTCTCAGTGTGGGCACATGTCTGTAAGGGTGGGCCTGGGCCTGACCTTGGTGACCACCCACAGTCCAGCCTGCCTGCCTCTCTTCGTCAGACAGCTCTTTCCCCTCTCTGGGGCTCCAGGATCCCGACTCCTGCCTTGGGGTAGGAGGTCACAGGATTCAAGAAGGCAGTGCTGCGATGGCCTTGAGTGATATTTTTATTTAAAAAACGAACAAGCTATTTTTAATTGAGGGTGGACAGAGAGAGGAAAAAAAACTTTAACTGAAGGTAGACAGGGAGAGAGTAAGAGAGGGAGGTCGCCCATCTGGTTCACTCCCCAAATACCCACAGCAGTCAGGGCTGGGCCAGGCCATGGCAGGAGCCAGGAGCTCCATCCAGGTCTCCCCCGTGACTGGCAGGGACTCAAGTGCTTGAGGCACCACTGCTGCCTCCCGTGGTGCACGTTAGCAGGAAGCTGGAATCGGGAGTGGGGCTGGGATTCGAACTCAGGCACCCTGACGATACGGGCTGTGGGCGTCCCGAGTGGCATCGTAACTGCTGTGCCAAATGCCCACCCCCTGAGACTTCCGGAGTTCATCCTCCTCGTGGCAGAGATGGGGAACCTGAGGCTTAGCTAAGGGAATGAACTGGGCCTAAAATCTCCAGCACGCTGGGGTCCTTCCCATTCTGGAACAGGAGCAGTACAAGGGGAGGGGCAGGGAGTACCAAGTTCACATGCAAAGGCCAGGCCTGCTCAGGAGGCTTCTGTATCTGTCTGCCTGCCCTGACCCCCACCCATTCTCCCTGCCTCCCTCCCAGCCCCCTGTGCGATGTGGAGAGTTGAGCCACAGACGCTCTGACTCACCGAGTAAGGCAGCGACTTCATACGCCTTCTTCTGTTCAATTGTCTCGTAATTGAGAGCTTCAAAAAATATATCCAGCACAAGGATGTTCTCTCTGCAGAGGGAAGATCCAGTCCCAGACGTGGTGAGACGTGTTCCCAGGGCTCATCCGACGCAGCTTTCCACGCACAGATGGAGACTGGGAGCCCAGGGAGGGGAGACAGCCTGCCTGGAGCCAGAGCTGGAGCTCGAAGCCAACAGTCCTGACTCCAGCCCAGGCCTGGAGACCTCTGCCAGCTGTCCCCAAGCCCCCGCCCTTTGCAGGAGTCCTGCCTGCCTTCCAGGCCTCTGAGTCCCCAGCAGGGCTGCCCAGGGCTCCAGTGTGAAGGCAGTGATCTCTGTGCACTCTTGCCTTGGCCAGGGTGCCTGTCCCAGAGCACCATCCAGGCAGCCCCTGCCTGCCCCTGGGAGCTTCCCAGGTTCCCTCTGGAGGCTGGTGGGATGCCCTTCTCCACCATTGCCTGGGCAGGGAGAATTTTGAGGGAGCAACCCTATGTGTATCTGGGGTGGGGGAGGGGTTTCTGGCAGAAGTGTGGGGGCTTCCCTCGCTCCTGTCCTCAGGCAGGTGCAGTCACAAGACTCAGCGTGGCAGCAAAAGCCACGGCTGCTCCGCAGAGGGGCCTGGCATCTCCCGCACAGCCCGTCGCCCTCCGTGGTGCTCACGGCACCCTCCACGAGTCTTGTTCAACCCCATGAGCAAATGCTGTGCCAGGATGGGGGCTGGTGGCAGTGTTGGCAGGAGGGAGTGGCTGCGCAGAGAGGAACAGACTCTGCTCTCTGCTCTGAGGACCACCCTCTCTTGCCTGGGTTATGGCCATTTCCTCTTCTTAGGGCCCCTTCTTCCCTGCCGCCCCGACTTTCCATCCTTGCCCTGTGCTGCCGCTTTGGTGAAACTGCTAAGCTGACCCAAATAAATCAAAACGGCTCAGCTCCTCAGTCACCCCCAGCAGCCCCCCGTGGCTGATGGCTGCCGTAGCGGACAGCGCTGATGGAGAATGTATCCACAACGTTCTGTTGGAGAGCGGTGGTCTAAGACCAGGAGGCTTCAAACATTCACAGGAAAATGGAACTAAAAATGCTGCACATTCCCCATGGACTTCCCAAAGTCCCCCGGTGCAAACCTCAGTCCTGTTGCTTCCCTTTGAAGTCTCTCTGGTGTGCTGCCCTCCCCACCCCCTCCCCGGGGTGCTCAGCCTACAAGAGCCCCTTTGCTCTGGCACATCCACTCCCCACTGCGAGGGTCTCTCGTCTGCCCGGTGCTGATCCTCTCTGCTGAGCCTCTGCCTGGACACCTGCCTCTCCCATGCTGTTTACCCATTTATTCTGTTAAAAGATGTACATCATCTACCAGCTCTGTCCCAGGCACTCCACTAGCCCTTGGTAAATGGCAGAGAGCTCAGGGGGTTTTCAGTCTAGTGGGGCAGGCAGGCAGGCAACAAATGAAACCTGAGTGTAAAAACCACCTGCTGTGGCATGGTATGTGTCACAAAGGAAGACACAAGAGCACTTGGAGGCAAAGATATCAGGGGCGGGGGCTGGCCTTGTGGGATGGCGGGTGAAGCCACTCCCTGCAAAGCTGGCATCCCATATGTGCACCAGTTTGAGTCTCAGCTGCTCCATTTCTGATCCAGCTTCCTGTTAATGCACCCGGGAAAGTAGCAGAGATGACCCAAATGCTTGGGCCCCTGCACCCATGCGGGGGACCCGGGTAGAGTTCCCAGGTTCCTGGCTTCAACCTGGCTTAGCCCTGGCTGTTGCAGTCATTTGGGGGAGTGACCCAGGAGATAGAATGTCTCTTTCTGCACCTCTCTCTGTAACTCAGCCTTTCAAATAAATGAATATATTTTAAAAAGTATTTCTTTTATTTGAAAGGCAGAGTTACAGAGGGAGAGACAGAAAGATCTTCCATCCACTGGTCTGCTCACCAAATGTCTGCAATGGCTGGAGCCGGGTGCTACTGAAGCCAAGAGCCAGGAGCTTCATCCTGGTTTCCCAGGTGGTTGCAAGGGCCCAAGCAATTGGGCCATCCCCTGCTGCTTTCCCAGGCACATCAGCAGGGAGCTGGATAAAAAGTGCACCAGCCAGGACTAGAACCAGCACCCATAGGGGATACTGGTACTGCAGGCGGTGGCTTTACCTACCATGTCGCAGTACAGGCCCCTACATCTTTTTTTTTTTTTTTTTCAAACAAGGAAACTATTATGAGGGGATTTGAACTGGCTGTCTGAGGAGATGACATTTGCATGAGTTGGAAATCCCCCCTTAGGTGGGGAGCAGAGGGAAAAGCATTCCAGGCAAGGGAACAGAATGTGCAGGTTCTGCCTGAAACCACCTGTAAAGCCACTTTCCCCGGTGCAAGGCTCGTGCCAGCTGTGGTCAACCCACCACTCTAGTGCCACACACCCAGCTCCATTAGAGCCAACATCACCCGGTCTGGCATTCGGTTTTGCCCATTCCTGAGCAGAGTCCAGAGCCTGGCACTCAGCAGGTGCCCAACACGCGTGTGCCAACTCCAGCCGACTGCTTGCCTCTGCTCTCTTCCTCCACTGCCCCACTGTCCCCGATGGCCTCCCCACCCACTCCGCACCCACTTAACGTACGAGATGTATTTTTCTGATTTGTTAAACTTCTTCTCGAGGTACTTGGCTGACGTCTTGCTGGGGATCTTGACCATGGAGAGCTCCTTATTGTAGCGGGTCAGGTTGCAGGGGGTCCTGCAGAGACAGTAATTGCTGTCCTTTTCCGCCAGCAGACCTGGTTGGGGGGAGGGGAGAGGGAGGCAGGGCTTAGTCGGGGTGGGCCCGCTGGCTGGATTCTGTCAGAGAGGAGGGGCGGGTCCTGGAAAAGGCAGGGCTGGGCTTGTTTTCTTTCTGCTTCCTTTCACCGTCCTGTCACTCTTACAAGCTGTTGAGGTGTGTGGGCCTTTGGCCACATCAGAGCACCTGTGTTTGATGCCTGCCTCCGATTCCTATCTCCAGCTTCCTGCTAGCGCAGGCCCTGGGAGGCTGTGGAGAGGGCTCAAGCGATTGGGTTCCAGCCCCTCATGTGGGAGACCTGGATTGAGTTCCTGGCTCTGCTGTGGGACTCTGGGGGAGTGAACCAGTGAATAGGATCTGTGTCCCTCGGCCTCTCAGACAGGCATTTTGGATAGTTGCAATGTCCCTTCTGTTGTACAGTGGCCTCCAAGGGAGTCTGGGCCCCTTCAGCTTCCCAGGGCTTGCTTTTCTGCTTCTAGCTTCAGTGTTCTCATCCACAAAGTGGGCCCCTCAAAGCGAACGTGGGAGACCCCGTACGTGACTGCCAAGGCTCTGCAGTACCCCACCTGGGCTCCCTGGTAGCCAGCGCCCTCCTCCCCTGCCTGCCGGGGAGGACACGGGCAGACACTTGGTTCCCCTCCCTGGAGGCAGCTCCCTCTCCCATCTGAACCCTTCTTTCTTCTTCCAATGAGGTGAAGTGGCTTAAGACAGCACTTCTCCAGACACACTGTCCGTGCCCAGATTCTAGCCAGGCGCTTCTGAGTCCACTTCTCAACTGCACCTTGACATTGACCTAAATCCTTCCATCTGCTGGTTCACTCCCCAGATGGTTGGAACAGCCAGAGCTGAACCAATCCAAAGCCAGGAGCTTCTCCCGGGTCTCCCACATGGGTACGGGGCCCAGGGACTTGGACCATCTTCTACTGCTTTCCCAGGCCATAGCAGAAAGCTGGATTGGAAGTGGAGAAGCCGGGACTGGAACCAGCACCCATATGGGATGCTGGTACTGCAGGCGGTGGCTTTACCCAGTATTCCACAGTGCTGGCCCCTTGTTGAGCCTTTGTACACAGCAAGCCACCTCTTCTCTCATGGGCCCTCCCCTCTCAAGTGCCCCTGGAGGCACAGACACATGAGTGCAGTGCTGCCCCACATAGTTCCAACAAGTGCAGCTGCTGGACGAACTCAAGCGCACACTGTTTAAGAATTCCCTCTGCTTCTCTCGACCCTAAAGAGTTTCCTGGGAGTGGAGAGAGGCAGGCAGGTCGAGCAGGTCTCACTCGGGCAACCTCCCGGCCCCCAGCGGCATGTCCCAGCAGGCTGGCATCAGGAGTGCTCTCTGCCTTGGCTTTCCACGCACAGGAGGTGAACCTGGCTTCACCTCCCCACCTCGCCTGGACTCTGCAGGATGCAAGAAAGCTGGACTGCTTTTGAATAACCTCAGCCTTCCCTTGTGGACACTGCCAGAGACGTGAGGGGCGGCATCACTGAGCCCTTTTTGGTGGCCTGCTGAAATCCATTCCTTCGCGATTGACAACTCTCTCTCCCAGTTCTCTTCCAATTGCACTGGTTCCCTCCCCTCCTCTCCTGTCTGCAGCGACTGCCTCCTGCACAGCCCCTTCCTCTCACCCACTCTGTTCCCTCTTCTCCTCCAGGTCTCTCCCCCACACCTGGCAATCTCACATATCCACCTCTGGCACTGCCCCCTCCCGCCCCGCCCTGTCCCGTCTGTCCCCCTATACTGACCTAGAGCAGGTTCTGCACACTCCTTATGCTGCTCAGGGGTACAGAAAGGGGCATCCCCTGCAAGGAAGAAACAGGAAAAAGAGAGAGAACATGTGGGTGTGGTGTGGTGTGTATGTGAGACTCAGGCAGGACCACACATGCCAGCACATCTCCTCCTCTGCCTCCCAGGGCCACGAGGGGCAGCAGTCTGTCACCAGACAGAGGGCCCTGGGGCTGGACCATGGAGTTCAGATCTGCTCCATGAGCTGGGCAGGCCACAGACCTCCCCGAGCAGGGGGCAGCAGGTCCCGCCTGGCCAACTCCTCCCAGGTTGCTCTGTAGGCCTGAGCCACTGCCGTAGGTGACAGGTGACGCTCGGTCCCTGGAGGGTGGGAGTGGGGAGGCCATGTGTCATCTCCTTGAACGCACACAGGTGTCCTTCGAAGGAGAAAGAGCTGCATCTGTTTTACCTGTGAGAGAGTTGAGGCCGAAGCTCCCCACCTTTCCAGATGCCAAGGCTGCCAGTGGCAGAGGTGGGCTTCAAACTGAGGCCAGGGTGGGGCCGAAGCCGGGGCTCCTCTCAGCACAGCCCGCTGCTGGGTGTGCTTCCCCACGTCTTTGCCGATAGTTCCACATCAGCGACTGTGACATCACTAGTATGTCAGGCCCCTGCTGCTTGCCTTTGGCTTGGGTTTTGTGGGAGAAACCGGTGGCTCAGACCAAGCAGCTGGTGAGCAGCCTGTGCTGCATTGCATTCCCCTCTCTCAGGTCCCTCGGTGGCCACCCAGAATGTGGGTTTCCCCAAGGCCAAATGCTGACATTGGAGTCCACACAACACTGTTTCCCCAGACTCTCGTCCAGAGCGGTGAGCCGATGAGTTTTCTCGTCTCCACTTAAGACAACGACGCCTTTCCCTTTGTGCTCCGTGTGCTAGGAGGCTTGTGGGCTGTTTTATTATTAGTCAAAGCAACACAAAGTTCTTGTCCCACAGTTGTGCAGGTCCCATGGGGCTACAATCCAGGCACTGGCCCGGCCGAGCTCCTGTCCCGAAGCTGTGGGGTGCAAGCCATCACCTCACCATTTCCAGCCTCCAGGCCCCCACCCCCCCCAACACACACATGGCCGCCCATCTTCCCAACTTTTTCTGTCTCAGCCACACTTCCCTGTGCCCCTCACTGAGTCACAGGTTCATCTGCAGGACTCAAGTGGTTCGACTGCCCCCTCCCCAAAATCTCCCTATCGCCAGGTTAATCACATTGACAAACTCCCTTTTGATAGAGCCTGTTCTGAAGACCAAGAATTGGAACCTGAGACTACTAAGGAGATTGCCGGTTATGAATAAATAATTCAGAATGAAGTTGTGAGCACATTTGTTTCAGCATGGGTTATAACAGGAAACAACGGCTAAAGAACTGAATGTCTAATATGAGGATTTAGTGAAGTCGAAGTACACCGTGAGCACGGAATGCATCCGCTGGATACATGGCAACTTTCCTCGCTCACAGGGGGCCTTCTGTCAACGCGACTCTTCCCTCCGTCACTGAGTTTTGCAGTTCACGCAGCATTTTTGTATCACAGCCTGATCTTATCCTTGTAACAACTACTGACTGTATTTGAAAGACACTGAGGTTGAGGCCAGAGAGGCTTAGCGGCTTGCACCGTGTCACACGCCACGTGCAGGGAGGAGCCGGGATTCCATGTCCTTTCCTCCAGCCCGTCATGCTTCCATGCTGTAGCACGCAGCTGCCCCGGCCCACACCAGCTCCTCACGCCGCTCCTCTGCTTGGACTGCCTCTGATGAGGTGGCTACACACGTTATTAGTTTGGCAACAGACGCTGTTGGTACCTGCACGTTTATGTGCTGGCTAATAGACTTTTGCTCCCTGTAGAAGGGCGTTAGCTGTTTGGATGCAAGAAGGGCAACATCTGGGTGTCTGAACATGTATGACAGTGGGATGCGAGAACCGTGGCACCCAGGTCCCTGACACCAAAGCCAAGGAGGTCACAGCAGCAGATAGCCGGCAAACACTGGACATCGGGGTGAACGTTTGCTAAACATCTGGGTGCTTTTCTGGATACCAAAGTGCTGCCTTGGTTGCTGGTCCGGGTGTTTCCATCTGCCTGCTCAGTGGGTAGGTGCCAAATAGCATCTTTCCTGCACACCATCCCATTGGAGCCCCTGGGGTGGTGAAGGGCTTCCCTCTAGGGTGAGATGTCTGGAGCTTCCTGGAGTGGTGAAGGACTTCCCGCTAGGGTGAGACAGTTGGCACACATCCCCCGGTACCCACCTGGCATGTGCACCATGCGGCAGTTGCAGTTCTCCACGATGTAGCGCGTCTCACAGTCAATCCTACAGGCGGTGATGCTGTAAACAGGAAAGAAGTCGAGTCCCATGTCCGATGACCGGCACTCACCCCATGGCGGGGGCAGGTATGTGAGCTGCAAGACAGGAAGCAGGGGGCAGCGGTCAGCCCGCAGGAGGCCACTCGTTCAGCCTCAGTGGACTCGGCAGCTTGTTCACCTACCTCTTCACTCGATGAACGATGCCTACTACCTGACCATTCAAACTCTGCTGCCCTTATGGGCCGTCAGCACCGGCTCTGCCACTGACTTCCTTGCTTTATCCTTATCCCCATCGATGCTACTCTCAGAATCTGACACCTGTGCCACGGGTCTTCTCACTTCCACACTCTGGCACATCGCATCTCTCGGGATGACCACCCAGCTAAACCTTTCCCTCTTTGGGAGGTTGGGACCCCAGATCCAGACCCGGAGGACAAAACCCAGAGGGAGAAACAGTTTTAGGCATCATTGTCATTGTTATTAACGATGTCTGGCCTGCACGACAGTGGCTCGGGTTGGGTGTCACGCCAGAGTGGCACCCGACACCTTTGGAGAAAACGGCTCTCCTACTCTCAGAGGTCCAGTGAGCACACGTTCTCTTCCAGAATCTGTGGCACTTGCCTGGTGAGGACGGGGAGGGTGAGGGACGAGGGAACTCACGGAGACTGCACACTGACTACGTGTTGAGCCCCAAGCTAAGTCCTTTACTTCACTGTTAGATGGGTGGCACATGAAAACACGCAATGAAACATATACATGTGAAGTGCATGGTTCAAGAGTTCTGACAGATGTGCACAGGGAGGTCATCGTCACCCCAGTCCAGATGGAGGACATTTTCATCATCCCAGAAATCCTCCTATTCTAGTCGGTCCCCCACTCACCCAGGCGATCACAGCTATGAGCTCTGTCGCCACTGGTTGGCTTTGTCTGCTCTCAAACTTATATAATTGAAAGCTCACACCATGTACTCTTTGCATGACATCCTCCACTCAATGCGTCCTTCAGACTTACCCATGTTGCTGTGTGTATCAGGAGTTCATGCCTTTTTATAGCCAAATAGTTTTCCAGGCTATGAATGCAGCATAATTTGTTTATGCATTCACCTGATGATGGGCATTTGGGTTATTTCCAGCTTTTGGTAATTATGAAGAAGGCCCTATGAATATTTATAAGTCACTTTATAAAGATAAATTTTAATTTCTTGTGAGCAAGTGGCTAGGAGTGGAATGGCTAGTTCATAAGACAGAACTTTCTAAGAAACTGTTATCTAAAGGGCTGTTATCTAAAGGGCTTCTATTACTTTATATATTCCTGTCAATAGTGTATGGGATTTCTAGTTACTTCACATCATGCCAAATCTTGACTTGATCCATCTTTTAGATTGTAGCCATTCTTGTAGGTCTGTAATTGTATCTCATAGTTTCTCCTTACGGTTTTCTGATGATTAATGACTTTGAGTATAATTTTATGTGTTTATTGGCCACTCATATACAGGATACTACAAAAATTTGTGGAAAAAAGGAATTAAAAGCAAAAAAATGCAGAGTTTTTTCATAATATGCATTTTCTTGAACCTTTTTTAAAAAGATTTATTTGAAAGGCAATGTTACAGAAAGAGGAGACAGAAAGATCAATCTTCTATCCAATGGTTCACTCTCCAAATGGCCACAACACCTATATCTGAGGCTGGGCCAGGCTGAAGCCAGGAGCCAGGTACTCCGTCTCTCTCTCATGTGGGCGGCAGGGGCCCAAACACTTGGGCCATCTTCTACTTTCCCAGGTGTATTAACAGGGAGCTGGATCAGAAGTGGAGCAGCAGACACACAGGCCAGCGTATGGGATGCTGGCACTGCAGGTGCTGGTTTAACCCATCGCACCACCACAGTGGCCTCTCTATGACCTTTCTGAAGATTGCCTGTATGCCTAGAATTCAAAGGTTTTCAGTACCAAAATAAACTCTGCTTTTAATTCTATTTCCCAGGAATTTCTGAAGTCCCTCACATTATCTTAGGTGAAGAGTCTGTTAGAGTCTTTGGCCCATTAAAAAATCTGCTTCTTGTTTTACTTTTGAGTTGGAAGAATTCTCCATACAATCTAGATCCATGTCCTTTGTCAGATGTATGTATCATGAATATTTTCTCTATATCTCCCATGATCTGTGACTTAATTTTTTCATTTTCTTCATGGCTTCCTACTTCAAAAATAAACTTTACTAAGATAAAATTCATATACAGTAAAGTGCATGAACTTTAATGTAAAATCTCTTGATTTTTTATGGTTGTATTCATCCCTGTAATAACCACCTGCATGAAGGTACAGAACATTCCCAGTAGTCCCTAAATACTTCCTGTTTGCAGCCAGTCTCCCGACCCCACCTCCCTGCCACCAATCTGGTCCAGGAAAAGACTGATCTGCTTTCCGCCCTTATAAGCTAGTTTTGTCTGTGCTGGGATTTTGTATTAATAGGATCACAGAGTATGTATCTGGCTTCTTTCTCTCAGTGTAAAATTTGTGAGATGCATGCATGCTCTGGTTTGTATCAGTAGCTCATTCTTCTTTTACTGCTGAGTGTTACTTCTTCCTCTCTAATCTGTATTCTTGTCTTGTGGCATTGGCGAGAAACACCAATGTAACGTTGGACAAAACTGGTGAGAGAGGGTATTCTTGGTTTCTGATATTTTACTGTTCAATATCTTAGGAATATATTTTTTTAAAAGACTGATTTATTTATTTGAAAGGTAGAGTTAGAGGCAGAGGCAGAGGCAGAGGCAGAGGCAGAGGGAGAGAGAGAGAGAGAGAGAGAGAGAGAATCTTCTACTGTCTAGTTCACTCCTCAAATAGCTACAATGGCCAGAGCTGGGCCGGTCTGAAGCCAGGAGCTTGTTCTGGGTCTCCCACATGGGTGCAGGGGCCCAAGCACTTGGGCCATCTTCCACTGCTTTCCCAGGTCATAGCAGAGAGCTATATTGGGAGTGGAGCAGCTGGGACTAGAACCGGCACTATTAAGGGATGCTGGCCCTGCAGGTGGCAGCTTTACCTGTTATGCCACAGCACTGCCCCAACTTGTTATAATTGCTAACCAAAATGCTTCATAGAATTTACCAGTGAAAGCATCTGGACCTGGTGACTGTGTGCACGTGAAGACTTTAAATTATGAATTCAGTTCCTTTAACAGATATAGAGACATTCAGATTTTCAATGTCTTCTTGTGCTAGTTTTGGTAAGTTCTGTTTTTTTTTCCCCCTAAGGAATTCATTCAGTTCATCTAAGTTTTTGAATTTATTGGCATAAATCTATATATAACATCCCCCTGTCATTTTCAATGTTTGTTGAGTCTGTAGTGACGTACTCTCATGTGTGATACTGGTACCCTGGGCTTTTTCTCATTCTTCTTATTGTTACTGATTTCTAATTTAATTATGCTTGGTCAGAAAAATACTTGGTTTCATTCCTTTAAGTTTTATTTTATTTTTTGAAAGATTTATTTATTTGAAAGGCATAGCAACAGAAAGAAGACACACACACACGCACACACACACAGAGATCTTCCATCCTCTGGTTTATCCCCCGAATGGCTACAACAGCCAGGTCTGGGCCTCCATACTGGTCTCCCACTTGGGTGGCAGGGACTGAAATACTTGGGTCATTTCCCATTGCTTTCCCAGGAAGCTGGATTGGAAGCAGGGTAACTGGGACTCAAACCACCACTGTGATATGGGATGCTTTTTCCTAAGCAGCGGCTTAACCCCCAGTGCCTGTACATCAGCCCCTCCTTTAAGTTTTTTTTTTTTTTTAAGGGAGAGGGCGAAGGAGGACTGGAGGGAAGGGGCAAAGAAGGAAAAGAGAGAAGGAGAGCCTAAGAGAGAGCGAGGGAGAGACAGATCAAGACAGAGATCGAGAGAGCCACGTATTCAGGAACAGATCTTAAACCTTTGCTGGGGGGTGGACATGGAAGTAGGAGCAGTGAATCCCATTAGGATGGGGGTGGAGCTGACACTGGTGGTTGGGCCATGGGGTCACCTGGCTTCTTGCCATGGCGGCAGGGGCTAGAGCCTAGGATGGTGTCCAGGATTGAGATCACCATAGATAAGACTATGCCGTTTTACTGATATTCCCCCTTTTGCTTTTTATAAAGCAGGAGTTGTATGGGATTACATTAGCCCCCAAAGTCCAGGAGGGATAGAGGGATGATGACCTGTCTTTAGAGCTACTTCCTGCTACTTCCTGGGGTAACAAGTTACTCTCTGCTGGCATGGGGCAATGTCTCAAGCTGCTGTCTCCTGTAGCAGCATTTGGTTGATCGCCTGGTTGGTAAAGGCCTTGGTTCATTCCATTATCACCTCCTGTAATCCCTTAAGATTTATGGATATTTCTTTCATGGCCCAGTAGGTGGTCTATTTTGGTGAATATGCCCTATACGCTTGAAAAGTATGTGCATCCAGTAATTGTTGGTGTAGTGTTTTATAAAAGGCAACTAGGTTGTTTGATGCTATTGCTCAAGTTTTCCATATCTTCATTGATTGTTCTTGTTCCTTATTAGAGAGGTGAACTGAAATTGCTAACTATGACTATGGATTTGTCTATTTCTTCCTTTCTCTCAATGTTTGCCTGTGTATGGCTGCATCTCAATGAGTCCATGTTGTTATCTCATGCAATTTTGCAACAGCTTTTTTATGCTTACTGTATCTGTCCATCCTTTACTTTGTTTTTGATTCACCTTATTACTTTTAACCTGTTATAATCTTTATATACTTAAGGCATCTCTCGTGTAAACAGCCTATCTGTTACCATTTTATCCTATCTGATGATCTCTGCCTTTTAATTGGAGAGTTTGACCTATTTACAGTTAATGTAATTCCTGATATTGTTGGGTTTAAAATTACCACCTTGCTTTTTGTTTTCTATTTGTCCCAAAGCTATTTTTTAAAAAGATTTATTTATTTGAAAGAGTTACATGGAGAGAGAAGAAGAGGCAGACAGAGGTCTTCCATCCGCTGGTTCACTCCCTAATTGGCCACAATGGCCAGAGCTGTGCTGATCCAAAGCCAGGAGCTGCTTTCTGGTCTCCCATGCGGGTGCAGGGGCCCAAGGACTTG